TAAAAGTTGTAAGAGTTTTAGCCAACAAACATTGACTTAGACAAAGAGATGAATAATTGAATAGAAATCTGAACCATAAACACACTAATTTTAATAAGACAGTATTTTCAAATATGTCCCATTAAAATGATAAGAATTTCTTTGACCTTACAGCATTCAATATATTTCACTGCATATATTTATAATCACATTCCCTAATTCAAAAAACAAGGTTCATCCTAAAAAATGAAATTGTCAAACTCAATAGCCTATGTGGACCTTTCGTACGAGTCTATCTTCTACATTGACCTCAAATGAAAGACAATTATTATAGCCATTTTTAAAAAAAGGTAAAATCCACATTACACAATACAAACTATCTTCTTCTGTATGATCAACAAAATGTGGCATATTTTTCTTCGTTTTCCTGAAGTGTGTTCAATTAGAAAAAGAAAACTAAAACAAGCCAAATATACGCAACAGCACAATATTACTTACAAGTACAATTGGAAGGTAAAAAGTAAAGTATGAGTTCTTGAAGCGTTCTTCCCACATTCTTGCATACTTCACCTTGGATTCGGATATTTTTACACTGATTATGTACAACAACTACGCATTTTTAAGTTTTCAATTCGAACCCCTAATCCATACTATCTTATACCAGCGCCATTTTAAGATCATTTTCAAGTATCACCATGTGACTGTACTATTTTCATCTTGTTCTCGCGTATTACTTCGTAGTCTCAATGTTTTCTTCACGATTGACTCGAATGACCGTATGATCTGAGTTTTTGCTCCTCATTCTCATATCTTTGATTTCTGTAATTATTCACTCTAACAGTAAAACATGACTTTATCACTTGAATCTTTTGACATGCACTTTAGAGCACAGCTTGTCAATCTAAACCTTTCACACTATTCGTTGTGGACTTCTGTGTAGTTTCAAGCTTTTACTATCAGTCGGCGGAACCTCAGTGTGAACTGGCTCTTTTTCTGTCGATCAGTCTATACAACCAGCGATATAAGCTTTTCTTCGATACCGATGTTAGCTAATGCTCGGATCGCGATTTTTTTCTATACAGTCTCAGAAATATGCTCTTACGCCACAAATTTTGCGTAAGACCTAGTTGAACTAGAAAAAAATCAAAAGGATTGCCACTAAAAAGTCTTATTTCTGAAGTCATCACCATTTTCCTGTGGTTTTGACCTTCAGCAAGGTATTTGATAAAAAAGAAAACGACCTAACTTCGGCCTAATATTTTGTTCACGAACAGATCCCATGATGATCAGGATATTCAATTAAATCCTGCAAAGAGGGCTCTGCTTCTTCAAAATTTTCAATGTAGAAAAGCAATCATATGCTACGAAAAGGTCAGAAAAATCGACTTATCTCAATTTTTAATGTTTCTAGAAAAAAAGCAACCATTTTACCGGAAATTCTGAACCTATTCTAAGCTTTTTCAGAGCACTTTATCAAAAAAATCCAGTCAAAATAACATAAGTAGCTTTATAAATAAATATGTTGCTAACGAGCGAGCATATTTGAGATCGTACTGATCCGTTTGCCGGTTATCGATTCAGTTGAACTTTTAAAATCAGCCGGTTTCCAATGATTTTGTCCATTGATTTTTCAGGACATTAAAGGTGCATATCGTTCCCGTTTTTACCGATTCCCTGGTTTTAATAATGAAGAGATATGAGCTTGGTAGCCTCGAAGTGACACTTTCTCCTCGTCAGACGACAGCTTCGAGTCATGCTGAATGAATTTATTATGTTCACGAAGAGTTAGCCAGCCATTAGAAGTTAATTTCAGTTTAAACTAAAGATTCTTCAATGCAAAATTTCGAGCTTATTTTTCTGAACTATTTTTAACCAACTCTTATAAAATTCTAATAGCTTCTTCGTCAGCATTCCGAAACATAGTGTAGTCTTAATGAATTTTCACGTTTTGAATCTTTGAAAAAATTTCTAAATATTGACTTTATATAACATCTGAAAGTAAAGAAAATCTTTTCTTTTACTTAGAGACGTGCCAACGTTTTTTTCCGACTGAAAAAAATTTATATTTATATTACTTCGGCTTGAAACTCAGAGAGAAAACTTTAGTTTTTCAAGTTTTGGTATTTTCCCTATGTCGCATTTTTCGTAAACACTAAAAGATATTTATGATACAAAGTGATTATAATCATACAGAGGCTAGCACTAGCTATAACTGACTCCATTTCAAAAACTGACAGCTGCTCATAAAAATAAATGATTATTCATTATATGTTGAAGTGTCTCATGTTGATTTTTTTATTTCATCGTTAAGTGTTTATGACACTTTTATAGATCCGTTATCCACTCATACAAAGCAGATATCATTTTTCTATAGCGTTTTATTTTATTGTTCTTATTCACATCGTTACAAAAAAAAGAAATGGATACTGATTCTGGTAAGGATAGTTTTCAATCAGGTGCTGACTCGAGCGAAAGAAAGCAACTACCTCAATGTGGGTCTGTGTCGGTGTAAGTATGAAAGGTAGCTACAGCCACAGTCATAGACTTACGCCCTCGTAATGATTCCTTATTAGAAGAACGTATAGTAATATCTTTTTATTTTGGTCAATTATCGATTTTCTAAGTAATGATCGTTAGAGTGGCCGAAAATTATGCGTTAACTGACCTTTCGCCAAACCCTTGACCTATCGAAAATGGACATTCGAGGGCTCGATACAGAGTTTCGATGCTTGGGCAAAACTAAACTCAATGCGTCGAAATTCTATCGAATAGACAGTTAAGCTTATTTTTCTCTCAGCAATAGGATCCTTTTACGAATTGAGATGCCTTTCAGCTTTGTTAAATAATTACTTAAAATAAAAATAGATCAAACTTATCAGTGGTAACGAAATCATTTGATTATTGCAAAAAGTCAGTCGAACCATAGTATGGATATTGTTCAATGTTATATGCTGTAAGTTGCGAAATGGGACATGACGGACTAAAATACGAATTGTTATTAATAGAAACTCTGTAATCTATTTAAGTTTTACATCGTATGTTTTCGTAAAACTAAAGTCATAGACTGTTTCTCGAAATAAGTGGTGACTGAACGAATGCAATCCTGTGTAAATAACTAGAGGAATTACTTCGATCATTTGATGAAATAAACTGTTGAATTAACTTGTTTCTGTGTTTTCTTTTCTCCTAAATCTCATTACTTTTGGCATACTCTGTTACTTTCTTTATGACTTTGAGATATTTTCTCTACTCTTAGAAATTCTCCTATTAAGATGCTCATCAAAATCAAATAATGAAAAACAACTATGCCGAGTCAATTTTACCGTTGGTTTCTTCCAACTTGGTCGAGAATCGTGTAACTCACACGAGTGCATTGTTTGTTAAATAATTCTTTTCTTATCTTTGCATCGTGGCAAGAGTTCGATCTTGTTTAGCCTTTGTTTTTATTTCGTTTTTCTTTTTGAATACTTTTTATCTACGCACTTCTTTTGGAAGGACTGCACCTGGTGACAGTAAAATATTCAAGATAAAGAGCACAAAGAATTTCAGTTCATAGGGAGTATATACGTCTATATTTATTTCTATACAATATGCAGTAGTTGCCATCGTTCAATAACGAACAATAAGTAATAAAGATGAATATTAATAGGAACCTATTAGAAAATCTATTTATCGACAACTAGTATACTACGATAATTTTAAAAATGGCTTCATATTTTATTGTATTTCTATATAGATGAGACTTACATGATTATAAACATTAGACAACCTTTTTTATAAGTTGATAAGAAAAAGTGATAATTTTAAATATAATTGCTAGTTTCCAGATTCAATTCATATTTTAGAAGATCCGACATATTCATTTTTTTTCTTCAATGAAAAAAAGAAAAGATATAAAAAACTGTTTCATTAGCGTTTATTTGAACTTGAACTGCGAAACATTCATAATATTATGAAAAGAGCACGTCCAAAAAATATTTGATTCATTTGCAACGTGATCTTTTGAAGAACAACCAATCTTTCAAGATATTTCAAATTGAATATAAAACTTGAAATTAAGAGTATGCTACACTGAATTTTTGTGGTTATAATGAAAATTTTATTAAGGGTATAGTTGTGGGTATAGATGTTAGTTTTCTCATCGCTCACATTCTCTTTCTACTAATGTATACCTTCTTCTACATGAATTTAATTATAGGTTTTCATTTCAATATCATTACTCACTTTGATATCTTATTTGTCAAAGTTCTTCATTTCTATCATCTTTTTCCGCATTATTTATCTTGAAAATCCCAATGAAGATGTACACTTTCAAGCCATTATTTATATCTCGTTGTGATGATGGAAAATATTAGTTTTATGTCAATGACGAACTTCACTATCGATTTTCATCATAAAATTAAGCATGACTGCTAATGTGTTTCTTTATTAGCAATATTCATCAATGACTTAAACAACAAGTCTTCGATCAACAGTGCATATTTGTAAGACATTGAAAGAAGGACAAAACCTCTAGGTTACTTCACATTATTGGAATTCCAAATAGTAGTTCAATATAATATTGCTATCTGCTTTTTATAACAATAGAATATTATCAATCGTATTTCAGTTTTACATCTGTGCCACTTCAGATGTGAACCAAATGACAATTACAAATTTAATAGAAAATTATTTTTATTACAAAACGACGTATTCTAGTAGAAAAAACTTCAATATCCGAAATGAGAGATTAAAAACTAAGTGCGAAATGTGCTTGAAAACCGGACACTAATTCACCACGTACCTATACTCTTAAACTCAGTTCATTTTCTCTCACATTGAAGTTAAAAAGTTCGAAGATCCTCCATACTTTAAAAACTAACGATCTATGTATCGTTACGATAGAAAAAAAAAGATTTATCTTTATGTATCTCTGCTGTAAAGACTGAGGTGTGAGTGTGTCTATATCTATTCACAATACCTACAGTCAAAGCCACATCCACGCTCTCGTTCAATTTATTGAAGATCATGCATCATCAGTAATGATTGGTGTTGAAGATGGTTCGGATACAACTGCTCAATTTGTTTCAATAAGTGAATTATTACTTGATCCATATTATTGAACATTTGAAGGATTTCAAACATTAATTAAACGTGAATGATTTGCATTTGGACATCGTTTTTCACATCGATCAAATCAAACAGCAACAAATAAAAGTGGTTTTACACCAGTTTTTCTTCAATTTCTTGCTCTTATTGATCAAGATATTAATCATAAGATGTCAAATAATTCAAATAAAATCTTTTTAAGATGTGAAATCAATATCTAAGTGAATTTGAATTTAATCAATATTATCTTCGTTTTCTTGCTTATCATCATTTATCAAATCATTTTAAAAATTTTATACTTGATTGTGATTGTGAACGTAAAAAAGATCGTAATTGGTATGTTGATACAACTCGTGATTCATTGACGGATGATATTACTGGTAAATTTATTTCATTTATCATTTCATAAAAGAAAAAAAAACTTCTTTTCTTTTAAGGTTTATGTCGTTGTAACATAATAAATATTTGAGATTATATAACAAAACTTAATCGAGAATCAGCTGGATTTTTTAATTTTCTTTATTCACCATCAAATGATATTTGTGTTCTTCGTCCATTATATAAAATGTTTGCACTTGATATATGAGATTTTTATTTAAGTGATTGTCCATATAATCTTCATATAGCTCTAGCTGAACATGAAGAACATTTAAATGATGCAGAATTAAAACAACGTACAAAATGTATATCAGCTATTTATGATGACATTGGTATTTCTTTACCGGATATTTTTAATGCTATTGTTTCTTTAAGAGAAATTTTTTATTTAATGGCTAAGTGTTTGAAATATATTTTCTTTTTCGTTCTAGGAAATGTCTAACATATTACAATATATAAATACAGAATCATGGAAAATTTATTAGGATTTAAATTGAAAAACCTGAACAAGAAAAAGTTCAGGTATATGTGTCACAGAAATGATTTATTTTAGGCTTTGGAATCGCAATTTTTTTCTAGTGTCATGTAGAGTTTGGGATGATTTAACATGAATGCAAACATTTGTGTTTTTCTTTTTTGTCTTAATAGTTTTTGAAAACAAACAATATGTCTTAAAATCAGTTGTTTTTTAAATTAGACAGAAAAAGATACATAAAGAGTAAAATGATGACCTGTTTTTCGTTGATATACCTTTTCAATTTTATAAAGTTCTTTTTATAACTGCAGTTACCATGTTGGGTGTGGGTGTGGGTGTGCTATGTTAATTTCATTGAAGTTCATCAATCGTTTTAAAGATTATATTCATTATTGTAAAGAGAAACCATCTACAGCTTTTTGAATGTCAAAAACTGACGAGAGTGCGTTCTCAAGTATCACGCCGTTTTTAAGCTGGAACTATGTTCAACCGATAGGACTTAATGAGTAGATAAATACTCTGGAGTGTTGCGCACTGCTAGGTCTTTGTTGCTTAGATGTCAAATTTTTAGTGAATTTTGGCTTGAAAATTGGAAATATTTGATAAAAATTCGATGTCCTAGCATAAAAGGGCCTACAATACGAACCACTCCAGAATATTTACCTACTTGCTAAGTCTCATCGATTGAATATAGCCACACCTTAAAGATGATGTAACACTTAGGAACATTCCCTTCTGACTTATAGTGCACATCAATATTCGAGCAAATAAACTGAACTTTTTTTTGAAGAAAGATCGTAGATGGGACTCCAGCTAGCTGTTAAAATGCAGAGAATCAGGTATACTTTTTTAATAGAAAAAAGCGCAAAATTTTGTTTTACAAGTAATCTTTATAATCTTACCATACTTACTAACATAGAGATATTTGAATTCTATTAGAAGAACCTTTAATATGACTTAAAAAATTAATTTTATAGCGTCTATCAATACAAGATGAAGCATATAAACGAATGAATTCTCATCAAAATTATCTTCAGCCTCAACGATCATTATTATCATCACGTACATCATCAATGTATGGTTCTCATGTATATGAATTCAAACAATTTACAATATCACAAGTTTGTGATGCTTGTGATGAATTACTTAACTTTTTATTCTAAAAAAAACAACAGAATAAATTTCCTATGAATAGAAGGAATACGAGCACTTCAATGTCGTGATTGTTCATACGTTTGTTGTGAAAAATGTCGACAAATTCGTATTAGTGGATCATCGGATTCTCAAATTGTTGTTGATTCAACTCGATTGTAAGAGAGTCCATGAGACCACCAAACGAGTTGGCTGCCGACAAAATTTTGATTTTCGATTTAAGTATTTAAAAAGATAGACC